CCATTCAGTATGATATTGGCTTGTGGTTTGTCATAAAAGCTCTTATTATTTTGAGATATGTTCCATCAGTACCGAATTTATTGAGAGTTTTTAGCATGGAAGGGCTGTTGAATGTGTCAAAGGCTTTTCTGCATCTATTGAGATAATCATGTGGTTCTTGTCTTTGGTTCTGTTTATATGCTGGATTACATTTATTGATTTGCGTATGTTGAACCAGCCTTGCATCCCAGGGATGAAGCCTACTTGATCATGGTGGATAAGCTTTTTGATGTGCTGCTGGATTCGGTTTGCCAGTATTTTATTGAGGATTTTTGCATCGAGGTTCATCAGGGATATTTGTCTAAAATTCTCTTTTTTTTGTTGTTGTATCTCTGTCAGGCTTTGGTATCAGGATGATGTTGACCTCGTAAAATGAGTTAGGGAGGATTCCGTCTTTTTGTATTGCTTGGAATAGTTTCAGAAGGAATGGTACCAACTCCTCCTTGTACCTCTGGTAGAATTCGGCTGTGCAATACATTTTTAAAAACTGTTTACTTTGCAAAGTAAAAGCTTGACAATATTGTCCATCTCCTACGTATTTTTAAAATTTCACTCATCTATAAAATTGAGCAATGTTGGGCTCACTTACTTAGAGACCTACCTTTTTAAGTGAACGAGTAATAGGTTGATAATTATTAGTATCTCAATGTCTTTTACAATGGAGGCAGTAGACAGTAGTGTTTAAGAGCTTGGAAAGTAGTGTTTTATGGGATTTGTGATCAGCCCAATTCCAACCTTGGTTGCACTGTTTACAGTGGTGAGATTTCGGGCAAGTCATGTGACATCTCTAGATTTCTCTTTCCTCATCTGTAAAACTGGATTAATAACAGCACAGTATCTATTACTTTTAATTAATATAAGACGCCAATGAGAAAGCAGATGTGAAGCAATTAGCATGTAGTAAATTCTCAATGAATATGAACCATTATCAACATTATTAATGAATTAATGCCTGCCTGCACTCTTAGCAGTTGTTTGCACTGTCCTCCTCTTTATATTATAAATTTGCCAGGCAAACCCTGTCTTCTGGAATGTTTCCAAAATGAATTGATCTGGCCCTGTTAAATGAGCCCAGTTTTTAGATTATGAAGTATTGAGACTTTGGTGCCTGATTTTCCCTTCTCCAGAAGCAGAAGGAAGAAATGCCTCCCTGCTCCCTCCACCCCATCTTTGACCCTAGACCAAATGCCTTTGCTGTCATCGTGCTGCTTTGCAGATGTTGCTCAGGTTCTGCAGATCCTCAGGAAAATCGAAGATAGGCAGTGGCCACAGCCCTCTGGACTCTTCCCATAGCTACACGCAGATTCTTGAGGGAGCTTAGAGACATTGTTTATCTGACCATCATCTTATACATGAGGCAGCAAAGTCAAGAGAGTTGAAGCAACAGGTAGCAGTGAAGTTAAGGAGGAAAACAGTCAAAGCTGAGTGAATGTTTAAGTCATTACAGTCATGCGCTGCATAATGAGGTCTTGATCAACAACCAACCCCATATATGACAAAGGTTCTCCAGTCAGCTGAGGTTAATTTATTCTTGAAGAAAGAAAATCCTTTCTATAAGTGTAGTGTACAGTGTTTATAACTTCTACACTAGTGTATGATAATGGCCTTCACATTCACTCACCACTTACTCACTGACTCACCCAGAGCAACTTCCAGTCCTGCAAGCTTCATTCATGGTAAATGTCATACACAGGCGTACCATTTAAATATCTTTTACATGAAATTTTTACTGTGCCTTTTCTATGTTTAGATGCATAAATACCATTGTGTTACAATTGCCTACAGTATTCAATACCATAACATGCTGTACAGGCTGACAGCCTGGGAGCAAGAGGCTGTTCCATATAGCCTGGGTATGCAGTAGGCTATATATCACCTAGGTTTGTGTCATTATACTCTCTGATGCTTGCACAGTGATGAAACCACCTAAAGACGTGTTTCTCAGAACATACCCCTTCATTAGGTGATGCATGACTATATTTTTTTCACTTCTGAATAACAGCATGCTACGTGACCATTACAACTTCCTTCATGGACCAAAGCAGTTTGCACATGTACGCACTGGTCCATCACCAAACATGGAGGGAGAATTAAACTTGGGGATCCAGTTAAATTTTGTTCAGCATTCAGTACCATCTACCACACTAAGCTCCTTCCCTGCCTCTCTTTTGACATCTTTTTCTCCCCACTCTCAATCACCCAGTGCCCTCAGATCACGCCATTCCAGCACCTTGTTACCTGTTCTCATAGCACCTTGTTCTTCTCTGTCTCAGACACTGTCACAGTTCAAATTTTATTTCTCTTCTACTAGACTCCCATCTCTCAGAGGGGCTTGCTCTGCTTTTGCTCAACACTGTATGCCAGTTTTTGGCATGATGTCTGGAACATCACAGGCCTTCAATAAACATTTGTGGAATAAATGGATGGATGGGTGGATAGACAGATGAATGGACGGATGAGGTACCTACACTACTATTGTCATCTCATGGAATTGTAGCATTTGAGTCTTTTGCTATTTTTCTACCATCAAAATTCATTGGTCTTATTTTCCATGTATGCTTCTCTCTGCTCTCTGAGTCTTTTGAATTTATTAAGCATGTTTAAATAAATACTCTCCCAATTAACATATGAGATTTCCATAGGAGCCCTTGTCAAATAAAATGCCCGAGACTTAACTCTAATGGTAAGACTCCAGGCCTTATGGATCTGTGAAAAAATAAGAGGTTGAGTCAGGAAGTCCCTTTGATAACTCCTCAATTCAGCAATGTATAAGTCACTCAAGTAAATCAGGGAGACACTGTACTTCTTACTTACTTAAGAGCAAGGCTTCTGGAATCAGTGGTATCTGTGCAACATTGGGCACATTGTTTAAGGTACCTTCGTTTAATGTTTTGACATTTTTTGATATATAAAGAGTTAAATGTGGGCTGCTGTGAGGTTTATGAATTAAGAGCAAGAAGCCTCTGATCCTCATTCCCAGTCCCCAGCACTCTTAGCATTTTAGAATGATAAAGATAAACCCTGTAAAATAGCAGATTATTTTCCCCATTCTAGTCACTGGTGAGTGCTTATTTAATGTACCTTACCTCAGTTTCCTGATCTGTAAAGCAGAGGTGATACTAGCCAACTCACAGGGTTACTGTGAGAATTAAATAAGATCATCCATCCAGAACACTTAGAGTTAGTACCTGGCCTGCCTCAGTCAACACTAGCTATTTGTTATGTTAACTTGTGCCTTGTTTTTTCCATCCTAAACCCCATTCTAAACCCTCATTTGATAAATGAGGCATCATATGCTTCATTTATCAAATCTAAGCATCTTTCTCAAGATTCAAGCCCAGGTTTGGCTTGCCACCATTGAGAACGTTCACAAGACTTAACCTTTCCTTGCAGGCCTGTTCCCAAAGCAACATTCCATGTGCTCTGATGGACAAGATGATGTCCCCACTGGAGTGGTGACTTTGAAGAAGGCAACCTCGACACTGAAGTATAAATTCTGGAATACATGTTTTTTTATTTTTAAGAAAGTTAGTTGTGAAAAGGAGGTGGACTTTGCTGAGTGGAGAGCCTATCTAGGAAGCCCAGATGCCTAGCAGATGAGGGATTTGTAGACCCCGTCTTTTTCTGGAGCTTTGGGCAAGAAGGTCTATTCCTAAGGCAACATTAGCATTGCACCCACTTATTGGCCTCAGTGTAACCAACAACGTGTATCATTGCCTCTGCCCCTGCTGATAAGTCTCTCTCACAAGCGTCTTTCCAATACTCTATTTTAGACTATGTTTATCCTTATGACAAAATGCATATCTCATTATTAATTGAGGTTCAGAGAGGATGAGCAGCTGTTGTTTCTCAGTTTGCTTTACAAAACTTCAAAAGCCTCCATTAAACTCCCTGTACAAAAGTGTTCAAGGGGCCATGGCTCTCATGTCACTTAGCCCCATTTCCCCTAAAGGCTTTGTTTATGTAGAAACTGGAGAAAAAGGGAGAGCAGCTAAAAGGAAGGCAAAATCTGAGAAACCAGACACCGATGCTGTGAGCAGAAGCTAACAGAACCATGGAATGGCACCTTCCACCCTTTAACTGAAGCCTGGGTGCCATTGAAAACCTAGAGAGGACTTGCAACAAACTGGTGGGCCTGGGGGGTGGGAGAAGATAGAATGTGGCCCAAACCCCAAACTTCCCGGGAAAATTATCTTGGACCTTTTCAAAACAAGTTCTCCTTCTTGGAAAGCGGCTCGCATTAAATCAGAGCCATGGGCATGAACTGCGGGAATGGCTTCTCTACTAAGCTGTGTACAAATACGTGACCAAGTTAACTTCAGCTGAGGCCAGCTTGAGAAGCAGATCACATTATAGCAGGCTCCAGGCTGCTCACTCTGAAAGACTCAGGAAAACGCTGTGGAGTTAGTCTGTTGCACAAATGTGAAGAAGGTGAGATTGGTCTTTCCTTCCTCTCCCATTTCTGGCATTTTTCCTGTTTTTAACCAGCTTGCCTGCTCACTCTTCTGAATTTCTTCCATCATAGGTTTGACCAGCTTCTTGAAAATCAAACTGTCTTTTGGTCCTTGCACCTGGTAGGCACTTGGTAAATATTGGTTGAGTGAATAAACAATTTTCCACTGAGAATCTGATGATTTGTAAAAACCCATTTATTCTTTCCAAACCTTTTTCATCTTGATGACCTCACATTATCCTCAAGACACCTGTCTCATGTTTGCCACCACTGGAAACTAGACATGGAGGGCATTAATATTGCCATTTATTGGTGAGAGACATTGAGGTGTGTTTGGTCAGGGTCACGTGGAAAGCATTCGGAGAAGCAGGCTCAGCATCAGGGCCCCTGGCTGGTTTCTCAATGCCCTTTCCACACAGCCTTGATGCCTCACTCTCAGGATAGGAACTGACATTTATCAAGCATGTACTATGTGCCAGACACCGAGCTAAGAGCTATACATGTGTTGTCTCCTATAATAGCACAACCGTCCTCTGATGTGACTATTATTATACTCATTTTACGGAGGAGGAAAATAAGGTACAGAGAGAGGGGGTTAAAGTAAGGAGAAAGGGAAAGACGCATAGCTCAGAAATGGTGCAGCCAGGGTTTGGCCCAGGATGTCTGGCACAAATCTATGCATTTAACCACTATCAAATTACTGTCTTAAGATAAAAGTGATGTAATATTACCCGGCCAAAAAATGTTTTTTAAAAAGAAAATCAGAGAAAGAGGGAATGTTTACTCCGAAAGGATGACCCCCTAAAGGTGAACTTGGGTATTTGAGGGTTAAGGGAGGCATCTGGAGGTAAATAGTACTCTGTGGAAACTTCTCTGCTCCAGAGTCCCCAGTCTTTGAAATCTATGTGATTGGGACAAATTTTGTAAGGAACACTCAAATGTATTCTGGTTTAGTGAAAATGGTGGCCTGTTGCCCTGGTTTTTACTGATCCTGTCTAATCTCTTGCCTAAGGCGGTTAACTATAATAAAGAATCTATTTTTATTCCAAAGTCCAGTGGATTTCAATAGTTGTTTCCAAATCATGTCTGCTCTAATTTGTCCCTGTTTTGATTACAATAGAGAGGATGATATTGACTTTTTTAAATTCATATTTCCTTTCTATTGATGCTACATTTCCAAGGCTCACCTACAAATAAAAGAGCAATATTCTCACTATGAGTAGTTAAAGGATTATAATGTTTCCCTCATAATATTATACATGAAATGCTTCTTATTGTTAATAGTGCATTTAGAGTGGATATAGTTTTAATACTTTTTAAAAAGGGAAAAATATTTCATATATGTCAGTATTTTTAAGGTAACAAATGAAAGAAACTCAAATAAAACCACCATAGTAATGAAGGAAATGTATTAGTTCATATGACTAGGAAACTCAGGAGTTGAGCGGGCCTGAGAAACTCTTAAGACTCAATGATGTCATTTGCCTCCTCTCTCCCTCTTTCCTTCTCTGTCCCCACCATCTGTTTCTGCTTCTCTGGCATTTGAGCCTCAGTTTCTCCCATTATGGTTGAATCTCTGCCATGGGCAGGGGCAGAGGGAAGAGGAGCATGGCCTCAAACAGTTTCAAGCATAATCACTGCTAATGAAAATTCCCAGAGGAAAGCAAGTGTCATAGTCTGTTTGTGTTGCCGTAAAGGAATACATAAGACTGGGTAATTTATAAAGAAAAGAGGCTTATTTGGCTCACCATTCTGCAGGCTGTATATGAAGCATAAAGCCAGCATCTGCATCTGGTGAGGGCCTCAGAAAGCTTACAGTCCTGGCAGAAGCTAAAGGGGGCAGCTTGTCACATGACGAGGGAGGGAGCAAGAGACAGAGGAGAAGGTGACAAGCTCCTTTTAAACAAGCAGCTCTCACGTGAACTAATAGAGCAAGAACTCACTTATAACCAAGGAAATGGTGCTAAGCCATTCATGGGGGATCCGCCCCTATGATCAAACACCTTCCACCAGGCCCTATCTCCAATATTAGGGATCACGTTTTAACATGCAATTTGAAGGGAACAAACATTCAAATCATATCAGTGGGGTTCTCTCACTAAGCATAAAAATAAATTATCCCAAGGACGGATCTACTTGATTTCCATTGTTCAAGTGTTTAATGCTTGGCCAATCATCATGGTCACTAGGGAGGTTTTCAACTGGCCAGGCATAAAACACAGGCTCACTCTTGTAGTCAAGAGGTGAGCACTGTGATTAACAGCCCTTCTAGAATGATGGGCAGTGAGAATAGGCACAGTATGCCAAAGAGAGTTGGAAGCTGTAAGTAGAAACTCTCTAGTGTCATATGGGGCATTCTGTGACCTTTGCAGAAACATAAGCATCATGTCAGGGTCAACTCTAATGCAGCTTTAATCATTTGAGCTAAATAGGAGATTTTGGCTGGAAATAAAATTTATGTTGCCAGAGCCTACTCTCCCAATTATACACCCAAAAAACTCACACACACACACACACACACACACACCCCTACATATATACTTAGTGAGTGCCTACAATGTACTAAAAAGATGCACAATGTTATGTTTCATGAAACACAGACTCTACAACTTACCTGGGATTGCTATGGCTTGAATGTCCTCTTCATGTTGAAATTAATTGCCATTGTGATTGTTTAAGAGGTGGGACTGTTAAGAGGTGCTTGGGCCATGACAGCTCTACCCTTATTAATGGATTAATGTCAATGTTGCCGGAGTGGGTTTATTATTTTCAGGGTCGGTTGTTATAAAAGTAAGTTCAACCTTCTCTTGCTCTTGTGTACTCTCTTGCCCTTCTACCTTCTGCCATGGGATGATGCAGCAAGAAGGCCCTTGCCAGATGCCAGCAGGTTGATATTGGACTTTCCAGCCTCCAAAACTGTGAGAAATAAGTTTCTTTTCTTTATAAATTACCCAATCTGTGGTGCTCTGTTATAGCAACACAATATGGACTAAGACAGTGACCGTGAGCAAGTTACTCTTCCTCTTCTTATTTCAGTTTCCTCATCTCCAATGGGAATAATGGTATTCCATACCTCATAAGATTTTTGAGAGGATAAATGTATTCATATATGTAGTCAGTATAGTCCCTGGCACACAGCAAATACTACATAGGTGTTTATTGTTATTAGCATTCATATTAGTATTGTGTGACCTTGGACAGGTTGTATCACATCTTCTGGTTGTACCAACTCTACAAAATGGGAACAATATACCTATTTCAAAGTGTGAGGTTTAGGTTAAAATAGCACATATAGAGCACCAAGCATATTGCAAACAAATAAGACTGGCCATTATAAGGTGGAAAATGTATTTGCTTTACAACTCCTGACCCCATTCCTGGGCCCCTACCATGGAGAGAGTGAACAAAGATCTTGTGGTAGACCACAACCCTACAGGTGATTCCCTTCCCAGTGAATGTAATCCAGTGTTACTCCTGAATGTCCAGTCTCTACAAGTGCTCAGTTGGTCTGTTCCTGTCTGCAAATAGTTCTAACATTTTATCTAAATAAATTAGCAAAACTCATGTACTTCTGATAGAGAGAAAAGACAATTTCTCACCATTTAGATGATATTTGACTCCTCTTTTCTTGCTTCATATTTCCTATTCCAATCCACAGAACCTTGTTCGAAATTTTAGCCTTAAAATTGACTAATAAATACTGCCTAAGTCACAGGCCACAAAAACTGGTGACAAGTTAACATATGATAACAATTAAGATGGTACCCAAGCTAATCTTTAATATTTTAGAGTTTCTTTAAGAGTAAATTCACAGCTGTCTCCTGCAAACAGCTTTGTCTTAAATAATTTCTGATAGTATTTTATCACTTTGTCATCTTTCTGATGTCAAATTACTCCTAAATCTCTTTTCTCAGAAACAGAATCTGGTTTTAAGTTCTTAGAGTCGGAAAGTAGGCCAAATAATTGGATAAAGCAAGACCCTGGACCACTTTGGAAAGTTTTGCCTAAGCCAACGTTATTTCGTTACGGAATTTTTAAAACTTAGACACGTATTTATTAGTAACAATGCTAGGCAGTAGAAGGGACTCTTGGACTAGAAAGCTAAATGTTGGATATAGGTTTTTGTTTTGTTTTGTTTTAACAGCTTTATTGAGGTGTGCCTGGCATACAATCAACTGCACACTTTGAAAGTGTCAACTTTGCTAAGTTTTTATATGTTACATATACCTGTGAAATCACCACCACAATAAACAAAAAGAACATACAAATCACCCTCCAGAAGTTCTTTATGGCGTTGTGATTTCTCTTTTCTCTACTCCTAAAATGTTATCCATTCTTTCCAAGTTTTTTTTAAAAGACACTATTTCTTTATAATTAGAAGCAAAAATTTTAATACATATTTGGGAAAGCTAGTGAGAATCTAAGAGTGGGGTGATAACTTTTTCACAAAACCGACTTCTAGATCTGGGAAAGGAACGATTATTCACCCCATTAGGTCAAGTGTCTGTCTGCTTTCCTAGCTGAAGTTCTGCTAACTGTGAAAGGATGTTTGGAGCCAGGCACGGTGGCTCACGCTTGTAATCTCAACACTATGGGAGGCCGAGGTGGGCAGATTACCTGACGTCAGGAGTTTGACACCAGCTTGGCCAACATGATGAAACCTCATCTCTACTAAAAATACAAAAATTAGCTGGGTGTGGTAGTGAGCGCCTGTAATCCCAGCTACTCGGGAGGTTGAGGCAGGAGAATTGCCTGAACCTGGGAGGCGGAGATTGCAGTGAGCCAAGATGGTGCCATTGCAGTCCAGCCCGGGCGACAAGCAAGACTCCGTCTCAAAAAAAAGAAACAAGGAAAAAGAAAGAAAAAGAAAGAAGAAAGGACGTTTGGGGGAATGAATGACCTTGAAGGATTTCTGAACACTCCATATACTATGCTCATCCCACCTGATGGGACTTTTTGAGGTCATATTATAAACAAATATGGGGGGGTCATACTATAAATAAATATTTTAAAAGCAAAGTCTATTGACTCTCAGTGACCTTTTTGGAGTCACATAAAGTCACCAATGAGGTGGAGGGCTGTGAAGACAAAGTCCGCTGACTTCTGAAGCAGAACTTAACAAGACCTAACAGTCCCAGATAAAGGTCAAGACATGTACTTAGAAACTAAAAGAACAAAAAGATGATAAGACTAAAGGAAACATTCATCCTTTTCTGAGTCACTGCAGCTTCTGAGCTGGAGCCTCTTGTGAAAGACTGAAGAATTATGAAATGTTTTGGCTCAGCAGGAGGAAAGAGTGTTCACCAGATTGTCTTGCAACGTGCAATGCAGGAAATTATCCATCAGGTGGGAGAGGATAGCACTGCAATTCCATTCACATGAGACACCATTAGAAAAACGAAGGGTCTAGGTTGAAAAATGAAACAAAGCGAGATGAAATAAAATGAAATCGAATAAGATGAACTGAGGTTGGAGTGAGGGTTTCAGGAAGCTAGAAGCATTTGAAAATATGTCAATTCCATTTACTCCTGGGCCTTAGAAATATTGCTTTTCTATTATTCCATCCCAGAGCTCTGATTCACATCTCTTAAACTCCTTGGAAGTCTAAGAGTGAGCTTAAGAAGATGGGGAAAGAGAGCATGCATTGATCGGGGGCAGGGCATAATATGTAATTTTGAACATAAATTCAGTATGACGGAATCGAAATAAACATGCAGCTTTATCAGTCAGACATGAAAGGACTTGAGTCAGCGCCAAGTCTCTCTTCCCGAAAAGCATAGAGATACCAAAAGGGAATCTTATCAAGAAGTTTTAAAATTCAGAAGGAGATTGGAAGTAGCAGTCTTAAAACATACTCAAGATAGGGTCTGTAGACAAATTGGGCTTATTGAACTCCTTTTGTCTTCTCTTTATTTTTTCTCTTTTTTCATAAAAGCTGATAAATATCTGTGTGCAAAGACAGTGGGGAATTTAAGAAACATTTTCTTTCTAAAATAAACAGAAATCTTGCCTACTGCATGTGAAAAGTTTTTTTTCCTTAGCATTGATACAGTGAGCCAGCCTTAGTTCAGCCTCAGAATTGTTTGTCTAGGCATAAAGATCAAACGTCTCCTTTTTGAGCAAGTTTGCTTATCACTGCTCAGAGACTCTCTCAAACTCGGGAGGAGCCAAGCACAGATCCCCGTCATTAAATCAGAAGCCTCTCTGCACAGGGCAAATGGATGTTTCAGCTCTATCTTCCTGAGGAATTTGTGGAAGCATCCCAGAAAGAAGCAGAAGTACTATTCCTTTTCCCAGAAGAGGGAGAGAGAGATGCTAGAGAAAAGCCTCTATTAACCTAGACAGTTCAACATTCCTTTTCTTTCTTTTTTAATGTTATATTTCCCGTTTAAGTTCATTTGTGATAAACCAGAAATTACAAATGGGCAAAAAGAAAGTCACTGTTAACATTTCTTGAATATTCTTCAGTCTTTTCATATAAAACCAAATAGAAGATTACACTAACCTCTTATTTATATTTGAAACTGTTCTCACTTAATGATGTATGCAATGAAAGTGTCATAATATATTTCACTACTTTTCAATTGGACAGCTTGGTTATTTCCAGTATTTTCTTTTCTTTCTTTTTTCTTTCTTTTTCTTTCTTTTTTGTTTTTTTTCTTGAGACAGAGTCTCATTATGTCACCCAAGCTGGAGTGCAATGGTGCGATCTCGGTTCACTGCAACCTCTGCCTCCCGGGTTCAAGTGATTCTCCTGGCTTAGCCTCCTAAGTATGTGGGACTACAGGTGCATGCCATCACGCTCAGTTAATTTTTTATATTTTTAGTAGAGACGAGGTTTTCCCATGTTGGCCGGGCTGGTCTTGAACTCCTGACCTCAATTGATCCGCCTGCTTCAGCCTCCCAAAGTGCTGGAATTACAGGCGTGAGCCACCATGCCCTGCCTTATTTCCAGTATTTTCTTATCATAAACTCCCTGTAGTTAAATATTTCCTAACTTATTTCCCTAGGATAAATTTTTAGAGGGGTTGAGTCAAAGATATGTATGATATGTGGCTTCTTAGAATGATTGTTGCCAAATTGCAACTTTCTCAACACTTAACCCCCACTCTAAGTTTTATCAGTCTATACTCCCTTCTCTTATACTCATGACTAACCCTGGGTATTGTGAGTCTTTTGCTAATTCAATACAGCAAAAGTGGTGTCTCATTGTTGTGTTAATTTTGTTTCTTTAATTATTAGTGAGGTCAAATAATTTTTCATATATATATTGTCCATTTCTTTTTCTTTTATTAATTTGCTATTTATGCTTTTATCCCATTTTTCTGTTGTGGTATTCATCTATTTCTTTGTGAGAACCCTTTGTATATAAAATATATTCTTTTTAAAATAAATTTTTATTTTTAATTATTATGGGTACACATAGTTATACATATTTATAGAGTGCATGCAATGTTTTAATACAAGCATACAGTGTGTAATGATCAAATCAGGGCAATTGGGCTATCCATTGCCTCAAGCATTTATGGAGAACAGTATGGAGGTTACTCAAAAACTAAAAACGAAATACTGTATGATCCAGCAATCCCACAGCAATATACACCAAAAGGAAGAAATCAGTATATCAAAGAGATAAAAGGTATTCTCTGTCAGATTTTAATACATTATATATTTCTTCAATTTTTGTCATTTTCCCTTTACCTTTTAAATAGTGCTTTTGCCATATACGTTCAAGTTATTTTTTCAGATTAAAAAAATGGTTTCTGCCCTTGTAAACATGCTTACAAAGTTCTCCACTTATCTCTGCTCCCCAGGAGGAGATGATAGCTTTTAAACAAGCCTATGAACTATGAACAATGCTTTGTCAAAATTCCATGACTATTCTTGATACACTTTTGAACTAAAAGAGCAGAGGCAGCAAATAGGAGCAGTAAAGCTTAAATTACAGTGGAACAACATCCTGTATGTTTTTGCTCACTAAGATTGACTTGCTTTTGCTAATTTGTCACAGATTATGACAAGTCCACTGAAGCTGCCAAATATACACTGATGCTGACATGCATGCTTATTCTTCTTCATTTCAATGCTCAGATTCATTTGGATCCGTTTCCTTTGGGGGAGCTCTGAAAAGACAAACTCTCCTGACTTCAAGCTCCTTTCTCTGAGCTTCCTTGAGCACCTTGCATTCTAAATGCAGTTTGTTTAACTAGAGTGGCTATAAAGCGGAGCTGAGGCAAGAACTTCCTTGTTAACAGAGTGTTTCCCAGAGAATTGTTTGGGATGCAACAGTCATGGATCCATAGGGGCTGGTGGAGCCCCTATGGATCAACTCAGGATCATCATCTTTTCACAGACTAAAAGTCGTGGAACAATTGGCTTCTCTGAATTTCGTAGTAGGGGCATGCACTTTGCACAAAAGAAGTCCATTTTACACAAATGGGATTATTTCCTATAGCAAGATAATAGCCAATAGGAAAACCTCGCCAATATTAGAAATCCACTGTACTTGACATAAGTCTCAGTGTCTGGAGTATATTTCAGTTGTTTGTGCCTGCCCAGCACCCATTTAGCCTTTTGGCATTGATGGAACTTTGATATTCCTTCAGGAAATCTTACCACCCTCACTCTCCAAATATATAATTCCACAATGGAGATGTGGAGCCCATCCCCTGGAGTTAGTGGAGACAGAGGAGCCAGACCTGGCCAATCAGAACCATCCATTCACTTTGGCTACAGTGATTGGTTGAAGAACAGACACATGGCCCAAACTAAACCAATAAAACTCAATACCTAGACTTTCACATTCTTGGAAAAGAAATATATCCTTTCCACTGAAGATACCGAGCTGACGAGTTGAGAGCCTGGGACTTTTGGTTACAACCTTGCTCCATCCTGGCTGGGCATGCCTGAATGAAAGCAGCCTAGAAAGTCTTCCAAGAAACAGCACATGGCTTAGTCCTGATGACAATAGTGACTCCCTAGTCTGACTCATGCCTGAAATTGGTATCCCCCTAAAACTATTTCCAGAGCCTTTTCTGCATAATTCAACGTGAGATGAATTTTTACCACCTGAGCAATATTGTTTTAAATGACAGCTTCTTATTAGCTCTGAACACTTTAGCAATAACACCAAGAGTGGCAGGAGTACTGGTTTGGGAGTCTGGGTTGTAGTCCTACCTCCACTCATTACTTTCACATCCTTGGGCTAATCGCTTTATCTATGTGGGCTCACTTTTCTCATCTATGAAAGAGAGAAATTCTTAATGTCCTTTTGAAGGCCATAAGTCTTGACTCTGTGATAACATTGTGTCAACACTTCAAGTTAATCTGAGGTTCTGGCTCCAACTGCCACCTCCACAACCCAGTGACAAACGACACTGATTTGTCTTAAAAGTTGAAAACTAAAAGGACCATAATATGCTTTTAGAAACTAGAAGATAGAGCAAAAACTCTGTAAAACATTGCTAGGATGTAGATTTTTCTGGAAGTGTATTAATGAGATGAGTAATATATTAATACATTAACTATGGTAACTATTGTATAGATTAGTAATAAATATTTTGTTTTAAAAAGGTCTGCCACTCCAGTTTTGTTGAGCTAAAGTAAACGAAGATCCGAGTTATGTCAACAGATGACACAAGTGTTCAGCAGTGAGGCTGTTTGTTCTGAGGAGGGGAACAGGAAGGGAAGCTGGTGCCACTCCCAGTTCTTCTTCATCAGACCTCCATTATTTATTTGATGAATTAGCAATCCTCACAACACCAGACACGATCACAAAATGATATTTTGGAAATTCTACTCGGACTGTATAGTTCTTCCAACCCTTCGCTGATTCCCAAGTGCCTTTGGGACAAAGTGCAAACCCGTTGGCATGGCACATGAGCCCTCTGTTATGTGAGCCTGGCTCTAATTCCACATCGCAGTGTCATCTCCTCCCACTCCTCTTTATGTGCCTTACCTACACTAAGTAAATAGGTTAATGCACAGAAAATGCTAAACATCTGGCATCATTTCTGGCATTTAGTAAAGGCTTATTATACATGACTGTCATTATGGCACACTAGTTATACTCACAGTTCCCTAAAGGTGCAGTACCGGTCCTGGATCTGTTTGCCCTGCATCCATCCTCCCTCTGCCTGCTGTGTTTTAGTCCACGATGGCTGATCCTTGCAGGCTGCAGTTCACAGGCTCTTGTGTCTCAGACTTCCAGCTGGTTGGGTTAGGCCAGGGAGACACACTGGCAAAAAATGGAGGGTAAAAAGAAGAGAGAAGCCAGGGTATTTCTCTCCTTGTTTCCTTGGGTGATTTCTGCAGCAGTGACTGTCTTCTCTGTAGTTCCAGCTCTTGCCAAACAGGTCCACTGTAGTTCAGCTTCTGGTTCCTTCTTTTTTCCTTTAGCAGAGTCGGTAGTGGCTTCCTGCTTCTTGATGCTAATCTCTGCATTGCCTCATCACACATGCTAACTCTCAGCAACCCTCTCTACCGTATAGCCAATCCCCTGCTTTCCATTCCCTGCACTGTACATCCTTAAAGAGGTGCCTGTTTTCCTGGAGAGACCCTGACTGGTTTGCATAGCACACTCTCATACCTCGGACCTTTGGCTTTTGCCTTACTTCAGCCTCCTCATCCTCAAGGCCAACTCCTAGTCATCCTTTGTTCCACCATCTTTGTTCTACCACCATCTCCTCTGGGAAGCTGTCTCAGTTTCTCCACCACCTGAAGGGTGGATTCGGTATTCCTCTTCTAAACACCTCTCTCCTAATAACTGGTTTGTTCTTGGAAAACTCCGGTATAGATTTAATTTTCTTAAGAGCAAGTGCACTGTCTTACACAACGTGGTATCTCAAAACCATCATATGGAAGATTTTTTCTGAAAGAATGACTAAATGCATAATTCAAGAGACACTTTTCAAATCCAGGTAAATATCAATGTAAACTGTCCTTGTGGCAGACAAGGACAGTTTACAATAATTCACTCAATATGATTATTGAGTTACCCTCTCAATAATTATATCCACCCCCGCCTTTTTTTTTTTTTTTTTTTTTTGCCAGTCATGCTCTAGTTCTGTTTGGAACATCAATGTGCCTGAGAAGTACTTGTTTTCCCGGCCTCCCTTGCAGCTCGAGGTGGCCATGTGACAGTGCTGTTGATGGAACAAGTGGAAGACTGCAGGGGAGGTTTCCAGGAGGGAAGAAGCCACTCTCTCTTTCCACCCTGGTTTTTCTGTGCCTTGAATCGTTCATCTGTGGATATCTGGAGCTATTGCAGCTAATATGAACCATGAGACAATATAATGTGATGGGAAAATCTGACACATCTAGGATAGAAAGCAAAAGATAGAAAGATAATGGGTCTCTTATGCCATTGCTGTGTTTCTTTATCTTTTTTTTTTTTTTTTTTTTTTTTTTTTTTTTTTTTTTTTTTTTTTTTTTTTTTTTTTTTTTTTTTTTTTTTTTTTTTTTTTTTTTTTTTTTTTTTTTTTTTTTTTTTTTTTTTTTTTTTTTTTTTTTTTTTTTTTTTTTTTTTTTTTTTTTTTTTTTTCTTTTTTTTTTCATTTTTTTTTTTTCTTTTTTTTTTTTTTTTCTTTTTTTTTTTTTTTTTTTTTTTTTTTTTTTTTTTTTTTTCTTTTTTTTTTTTTTTTTTTGTGACAGGGTCTTGCTCTGTCACCCCAGCTAGAGTGCAGTGGTGCAATCCTGGCTCACTACAGCCTCAATCTCCTGAGCTCAAGTGATCCACCTCAGCCTTCCTGAGTACTGGTACTACAGGCTGATTTTGCCATGCCCAGCTAATCTTTATT